ATCTAGACATCTTTCTACTTATTTATTTTACTGTTGTTGTTAAGTGTTGTCAATTCAGTTCCATTTCATAGGGACCTTATATAGGGTTTCCCAGGAGAGGTTGGTGAGTTTGAACCACTGAACTTGTGGTTCAAACAGACTTTGCGCTCCATTGTTTTACCTTTACCCCACAGCACCACAACCTTGTAAACTCCTTGGGGGAATTCTGCTCTGTCCTATAGGGTCACTGTGAGTTGGTATGCAATCAACAGCACACAACAACAATTACACTGGGTTCCATTTCAAGCTGTAGCTAAGGACACCACATGCATATACTTAGAGCTGATGGGGAAAGTGCCAAGTGGACAGGTATGCAATCTGTAAATATACTCAATCTCCCTGCCTCTCCAGGCTGGTTAACTACGAAGTATTACAACTTCACAGAGATCCTTTCTTAAAAATGTGTCTGAAATTCTTTAGGAGGAAAATTAGCCCTTAAGCAGCAGTTGTATTATTTTAAAACTCCGTAAGTTTTAATAAAGGAGCTCTGGTAGCGTAATGGTTACGAATCAGGCTGTGAACCTCAGGGTCAGCAGTTCGAAACTACCAGCTGTTCCACGGGACAAAGAGGAGGCTCTCTGCTCCCATAAAGATTTACAGCCTCAGAACCGACTCCACGGCACATAACAACAACAAGTTTAATAATTGAGTATAGCTTAAGGAGCTCTGGTAGCGTAGTGGTTACGAATCGGGCTGCTAATCTCACAGTCAGCAGTTCGAAACTACCAGCTGCTCTGCAGGAGAAAGATAAGGCGTTCTGCTCCCTTAAAGATTTACAGCCTCGGAAACCCTGTACAGGGTCACTATGAGTCAGAACCGACTCCACGGCACATAACAACAACAACAACATAGCATAACTTAACCTTTTCTTTTTGCAAATCAGAATGCTTTTACCTTATACATTCCAATGGGCTCCACTTGGGGGTATATGCCAGGAGGGAACAGGTGACTGCCTTTCTTTATAGCCTTTGACGGAAGGCTCTCCTTACTCCAAGGCTATGGGAAATTGTTGTTTCACCATCCTCACAATTGTTATTATGTTTGATTCCATTATTGCTGCCACTGTGCCAGTCCATGTCGCTGAGGGTCGTCTTCTTTTTCACTGACCCACTATTTTACCAAGCATGGTGTCCTTCCCAGGACTGGTCCCTCTTGATAACATGTCCAAAGTATGTGAGACAAAGTCTCGCCATCTTCACTTCAAAGGAGCATCTGGCTGTACTTCTTCCAAGACTGATTTGTTTGTTCTTCTGGCAGCCCATGGATTATGGAAATACAGTCTTCGTATTTTTTCATTTGTTTTATATAATATGTTTAAAGTCCTAATCTAAATTGACAGAATTCTAAAGGAGTTACTAGATGGTGCAAATGGTTAATGTGCTCAACAGCTTGCTGAAACAGTGGTTCGCATCCACTTAGAGATGTCTTGGAATCTATTTCCAAACAAATCCGCCATTGAGAACCCTATGGAGCACACTTTTACTCTTGAGACCCTTGGGGGTCACCATGAGTCAAAGTTTATGGCAACTGGTTTCAGATTAGAAAGATGCCCTGTGGGAAGAGAGTAGTGGAATGGCCGGGTACAGGGGGTTCATAGGGTGCTGTTCGGAGGGCTGTGGGACTAAAGCCCTGATTCCTCCAGAACCATTCCATGGGATACTTGCCATTAGCCTTTATGCACTGTGTTTTCTACCTTCTCACATCATCACCCAGCCCAGAATGAGTGATGGCCAAGGGGCCATGAAGCCCAAAAGGCTTGAGTCCTGCAGAAAAGCTGACAGCGCGACTTCATAAGAAGAATTATGCCAAGACATAATGATGGCCCTATAGGGGCCCTGAGTATCATGGTGGATCAAATGTAAGACCAGCAGTACAATGCAGGAAGAAATGTAGAAAGGGCTTTTGCAACTCTGAGTTGCAGTGTCTACGTTGACCCTTCTTCTGAATTTGTCTCCTAGGATGGCAATATACCACTGCTTCTTGCGGTGCACAATGGCCACAGTGAGGTCTGCCGCTTTCTGCTGGATCATGGAGCAGATGTTAATTCCAGAGACAAAAATGGAAGGTACCGCAGAATCAGACAGAAACCATACAACTTCAGTGATGACATGTCTTCTCAAAAAATCATAGCTATATTTTAAATGATTTCTCATAAAGTGGTTTTCCATTTCTTCTCTACCCCCGCCTTTTGATAATTAAGAAGCTGTTTTGACATTTAAAGCAAATGTTTTTTTCTCAGACCTCTGTGGGCATCTTTGCTAGCTGTGATGTGATTGTTAAATAACACTAAAATGAATAAGCCATTTCTTGTGGCTCCTTATCATTCAGTTCATTATCCTTCTGAGTAAATAAAAGCAGACATCTTGGTGGCTTTCTAAAAATAGTCGTAGCAATGTGCCAGAGCAAACAAACAAAAAAACACAAGCCCATCGGCAATGAGTGAATTCACATTCAGAGTGCCTCTATATGTTGTTGTTAGGTGCTGTGGAGTCAGTTCTGGCTCCTAGTGACCCTACACACAACAGAACAAAACTCTGTCCAATTGGTCCTGCTCCACCCTGACAATTGTTACATCTGAGTCCATTGCTGTTGCCAGTGGGTCAGTCCATCTCCTTGGGGGTATTCCTGTTTTTCACTGACCCTCACTTTAATCGTGCATGATGTCTTTCTTCAGAGATTAATCCCTCCTGATATAACATGTTCCAAGATTGACAGACGAAGTCTCAGCATTCTGGCTCCTATGGAGCATTCTGGCTACACTTCTTCCAGGACAGATTTGTTTGTTCTTCTGGTCGTCCAGCATGCTTGAGGGGGAGAAGGGTCAGACTAGTGCCAATCAGAGTGAATTTCTTCTTCTTATGTCAAATAATATCAAAGATTATGTTTGGTATATAGCATAAGGTTTAATATTTTGATTTGATCTGAAATTTTACAGAACAGCCACTTCATTTCATCTTTAGGAGCCCTGGTGGAACAATAGTTAAGCACTGTGTTGCTAACCAGAATGGTCATTTGAACCCACCAGCAGCTTGTTCTGCTCCTGTAAAGACTGTTGTTGTTCAGTGTCGTCGACTTGGTTCTGACTCATAGCAACTCTTTATAGAGTTTCTGAGCAGTGACTGGTGGGTTTGAACCCCTGGCCTTATGGTTAGCAATCTAATGCCTATCCTACACCACCAGACCAGAACCTAGCTGTGGAAGTGCTATAGAGGTCTACTCTTGTCCTAAAGGGGGGTTCACTGTTATCCTGATCGGCTTGATGGCATATAACAACAATTTCATCTTGGTAGCATTCCATTATGGATTCCCCAGAAGATTAAGTGCTGCATTTAATCTCCTTTCCACTGTTTTTAAGACAAGGTAGCATGAATTCTCAGGAGAATCCTTTTGTTGGTACTCAATTGGTGTCTCTTTTTTCCTTTAGAACTGCTCTCATGCTGGCCTGTGAGACTGGTAGCTGTAACATCGTGGAAGCCTTAATTAAAAACTGTGCAGACTTAAACCTGGTTGACTCTCTTGGACACAATGCCTTACATTATTCCAAACTCTCCGAAAATGCAGGAATTCAAAGCCTTCTAGTATCAAAAATCTCTCAGGATGCTGGTATGTGAAAGAAAATAACCAGTGTTGTTTTAATTTCATCCACTTGAATTTCCCCAAAGGATAAAGGAATGTGTGCAATATGATATATTTTATTATTATACTTAAATATCTTAAAGAAAAATGAAGTGTTCAAGAGTATACATGTATCCCCACCCAAAGTAGATATGAGTCATTGGAGTGCTTACAGTTCTATTTTTTACTTTACTTCTACAGATTTAAAGACACCAGCAAAACCAAAGCAGGTATGTATCTTTGAGGGAGGGGATTTTTTTTCTTCTTCTTTGGTTATGGGAATTTTTAAATGTCCAGATCAAACCACTCTTTGGGCCATTAGCAACGTGATACTTATGATACCAAAAATACATAAGGACTGAAATATGTGGAAAAAAGAGAGAATTGTTGTAATAAGGTAGCAAATAGTTCCCAGATGATTTACCTAATTTCGAAAGCATCTAACTTTAAACTTGCTACTTCTGTCTCTTTTGCCAAAATGTACTAATTCTTCCTACTGGTGTGAAAATATTTAATGTGGCTTCAGCTCTGAGACAGAATAACAATATTTCAAATACTTGAAATATCATCTAGAATACAGATTTACGGCCATGAAAATGTTAGACACTAATGAAAGTAAGAGATTTGGGGTGGGTTTTGTTTTATTTTTTTCTTTTATTTTGATTGAGGTTTTTTTAAAAAATCTTAACACATCTACTGTTTTGAAAAGTAGAAATTGTTTGACACACTTGCCCTGTTATTTTGGAATGTTTTCTAAAGAATATTTTGTCTATCTGTTTATTTTATTAATGATGAAATGTATGCTTAGATGCTATATTTATTTATTTATACATCAAGGTCCTTGAAGAAACAATAAACAGTAAATACTCAATATTTGATTCATTAAATACTGTGGAGCCGTAGGGTAAGCCCTGGACCTCACGGTTAGTTTGAACCACAAGGTCAGCGGTTCAAACTTATCTCAGAAATTCTATACAGGGTCACTGTGAGTCGGAACCGACTCAACAGCACTTAATAACAACGTATCATGTATTTATCCAAAACCTTCTGAAATAAGGTTCCTCTCCCCCGCCCACCCTCCTATAGTTATAGTCTTTAAGGAGATATGGAAGAAATACCATCCCTTTTCATTGAAATAAGAGGATCTGGTGGCATTGTGGGACAAGGGTTAGACTACTAACTGTAGAATCAGTGGTTCAAACCCATCTGCTGCTCCATGAGAGAAAGATGAGACTGTCTTCTCTCATAAAGATTTACAGTCTCAGAAGCCTTGATTAGGGTCACCATGAATCAGATTCAACTCAATGAAGTAGGGTTTTGGGGGTTGTATTATGAGGAAAAGCTAGACTGTGACTGTATCTTAGGTTCTAAATTGCAGTAGATGACTCCTCATCCTCTCCTTTTTCAGTTCTCCATCATCAACTTGATCTGGTTTGTCTTGTGTTTTTATTTTCTTGCTCTTAAAGTGTGGGCTACTGGAAGAAAACTTGGAGCATACATAGTACTTATTTTTATGTTGATAGCAGATTTCAGATCTTGATAATGTGAGAAATGCATGAGCTATTGGGGGTGTTTCTCATTTGTTTGATGAAGCTACGGCTCACACTTTACTAACCTGACTAACCCACCTCCATTCTTTGGACTGTGATAACTTTCAGCATGATCAAGTCTCTAAAATAAGCTCAGAAAGAAGTGGAACTCCAAAAAAACGCAAAGCACCACCACCTCCTATCAGTCCTACCCAGGTAAAACCCAAACCAACAATCGGCAACCAGATAAAAACAAAGCCATCATTCTGTCAGTGGGTATTCAGGTCAAAAAAGGAATATTTTAGAGGTTCCCTTAAATATATATTTTAAAAAATTTTTGTAAGTGGTTTTTAATTGCAAATTGAAATGCACCATTTTGGTTATTAGTATGGAAATTATGATGTTGACTCTCATCTGTCAAAAACTACATAATAGAATGATAGCTTTTTTTTAAGTCACAAGAACATTTCTCAAAAATTTGTAACAACTATTTTTTTTTTTTCCCATAAGACCATGAGCTCATTATTTTTTTTTTTAGTTCTCTATGTTAACAATTCTAGTGGTGGGTGAGGATGTACAGCAGCAAGTGAGACAATTAGTTGAAAATTCATCTTTCTTGGTTTCTGAAAACATTTACCTTCATATTACATTTAAGACTGGTTAACATTAAAAGTAGTTTTCATTGCTGCATTCACAGTGTCTGCTGCTTAAAGCTCAGAAATCTATAAAGTAGCAAATTATGACAGGCTAGGGCACTACTTAAAAAACCATAAACCCATAAACTTCAAAGGGAATGTAATTATTCAAATGGTAATGACAATTAATTTTAAATTCATTTCAGCAGATTCATGAATAATATTCTCAATCTGCAATAGATTTTTAATAGATTCTTTTAAATGGATTCTAGTTAATATTGAAGCAAGGTTGCTTTGTGAGAATCTTCCAGCTTTTAGAATGTGAAGTAGCTGAATTGCATAGAAAAGATGTTGTGCTTGAATTAACTAAAGTTAAGGAAGGAGCCCTAATACTGAAGCAGCTAAGCACTTAGCTGATGATCGAAAGGTCAGTGGTTCAAACCCACCAGACGCTTCATGGATGAACGATGCAGGAGTCTGCTACCCTAAAGATTTCATCCTTGGAAAACCTAAAGGGCAGTTCTACTTTATCCCTAAGGGTCACTTAGTTGGAACTTTACTCCACGAAATGGATTGATTTGGGTTTAAAGATAATTATTGTTAGACCTGTATACATTTGTCAAGTAAATTGATTCTTTAGTACTACAGAAGAAAATGCTTTGCAAAAAAAATTTTTATTGATGGTTTTCACTTTGTTTTTCTAGTTAAGTGATGTGTCTTCTCCAAGATCAATAACTTCAACGCCACTTTCTGTAAAGGAATCAGTATTTTTTACTGAGCCATCCTTTAAGGTATATCTTTTCTGTGCTCAAGTTTATTATTGTATTTAAGATACAGGGTAGACTAACTTTCTGAAGTAATATATGGGTGCTTTCAAAAGTTTGTGGAAAAATGGAGTTTTCCCATGAACTTTCGGAAACCCCATCATATAATACTAGGCAAAAGGAACTATGTTCCTGGGTCCTGGGTCATTATTTTACAGCCTTTATCACCAAGAAAGATCCCTTGATTACTCTTCCAGGTATGGGCCACATTTTGAAAAACAAGAGGATGAGCGAGTTGTATTTGTTAACTAGGAATTAATGTTTTTTGTTTAAAAAAAAAATGGTCAAGATAAGAATAGGCCTGCTTAATATGGAGGTGATATATAGCCAATCAAAAGAGAAGTAGCTTTTTGTTTTTCTCTGAGATCATATTTTTTTAATTAAAGTTGTTACAGGGGAAAAAAATGTTATCTCACAAGTAATATGTATTGAATATAGAAAATTTTAAAACTTCATTATATGTTTATTCTACCTCTGAGGATTCATTAGGGTCCTGCGGGTAATTGGTAAATGTTTTAAGGAAATAGGAGAATGTTTCAATTCAACATCTGTTTATTTAACAATCACTGGGAAAGTGTACTAGGGAGGAAAGTAAAATTTTCATTGTTAAAATGAAATATTCTAAATGTGTAATTACTCTTTTCCATTTGCCAATTACTAAAGATAATTTTCCTGTAACCTGGAGGCACATTTATTTGAACAATATTCTATCATATCATTTCCCTCACTTCAACTAGACTATAAGAGGAAAATGCTTTCAAGGCAAGGCAAAGAGGTTAGTAGTACCCTAAAATGGCTGTGGTACAAAGGGAATAATGCATTCCAGAGAATAATATCACAAATTAGGATTTTCAGACAGAAGACTTCCTTTTTCTATTAAACAAAATAAAATAAATATGACACCAATTTAGGGTGATGAAACTTAGAAATGGAGGAGCCATGGTGGCACAGTGGTGAAACACTTGACTGCTAATCTAATGGTTGGCGGTTCAAACCCACCGAGCAACTTTGTAGGAGAAAGACCTTGCAATCTCCTTCTGTAAAGACTACAAGTAAGAAAACCATGTGGGGCAATTCTGCTCGGTCATGTGAGATTTCACGAGTTAGAAATGCTTTGACAAAACCCAACAACAACAAAATTGGGAAGACTGCAAGTACCAGATGTTGGTGAGGATGTAGAAGAAATGGGACTCTTAAAAGAGTTTAACAGCTTTGGAAAACTGTTGGGCAGTTTCTTTCAAAGTTAAACATTTATCTTCTACATGGTCCAGTCATTCCACTTCTAAGTGTTTACCCAAAAAGAAAAAAAAAAAAAGGCATGCCTACATGAAAATTGTATACGTATTGTTTATACGTGCTTTATTTAGAGGACTGTAAAAGTGAAAACAGTTCAAAAGTCCATCAACAAGTGAATGGGTAAACAAAAAGATAAAAAAAAAACTCATGGGATGGTCGTGGTTATGTGCAGTAGAGTCAGTTCTGACTCACAGCAACCCTATATAGGTTTTCTGAGGCTATAAATCTTTTTGAGAGCAGAAAGCCTCATCTTTCTCTGACAGAGAGCTGGTAGTTTAGAATTGCTGATCCTGAGGTTAGCAGCCCAATTCATAACTAGCTACCAGAGCTCCATATGTAACAGCATACTGTTGTTTGTTGTTGTGTGCCGTGGAGTCGGTTCCGACCCATAGCGACCCTGTACAGGGTTTCCGAGGCTGTAAATCTTTACGGGAGCAGAACGCCTCATCTTTCTCCTGCGGAACAGCTGGTAGTTTCAAACTGCTGACCTTGCGGCTCGCAGCCCAATTCGTAACCACTACGCTACAGCATACTACTCAGTAATAAAAAGAAAGAAACTGCTGTATAAGCAACATCACAGATGAATCTGAACATGTTCATACTGGATGTTGTTGCTGCTAAGCATTGCCGAGTCGGTTCCAACTCGTAGCAATCCTCTGTAGGGTTTCTGAGGAGCAGATGGTGGGTTTGAACTGCCAACCTTAAGGTTAGCAGTCCAGTGCTTATCCTTCAGTGCCACACCAGAACTCCATGCTCAAAGTAAGAAGCCAGATAGAAGAGTTCATACTTACTGAAATCACTGCGTCTGTAATCATTGTAAAGAATGGTTTCCTTGGGAATGAGACAGAGGAGGATTGGTTGTGATAAGCACAGGAAACAACTCAAAGTGATAGAAGTATTTTGTATCTTGGCTGTAATGTTGGTTTGTATATATCTGTCAAACCTCCTTGATTGTAAACTTAAAGGGATAGAGTTTGGTCTGCCTTGATATGGTTGAAAAATCAAAATAAATATATTTTAAGTGAAAGGAGAGCTCTTTGTAAAGATAAAGAGTTGCCAATAATAAGCCACGTTTAGTATTTGGACCTTTACAAAGAGTTATTTTGCTGAAAAATGATATCTCTTATCATTGCATGTGGCTCATCTAGATGGAACATTAACTTCTGGCAAGTCACTGTATTTCATTTCTTTCTCTTAAAAATATTTGTTTACACTATTTCATTATGGAATGAAAGCCGGCTTTGAAATTACAAGACACTTAGCAATATATTAACAGCTATTCACAGGGAAGGGATTGAAGGAAATTTGTAAGACATCAGTGATCAATTCAGGACCATAAACATTTTTATTCATGAAGTTACCTCCATTGCCAAGTCTTACTTATTACCTTTTCCCTTAAAAAGAGAACAACATGTTGCTAGCTGCTAATTCAGGAAATAGTAAAGCTAAAAAGTCTACTTTTAGTATATTCTAACCAATGTATAAGCCAGATAGTTATAGCTCCTAGTTGACTCTGTTATGAAGGAAATTATTTGCCATTTCAGGTTTCAGAATATAACCCAAAAATTAGTCATTCAAGAAAATTATTGAAATCTTAAAATAGATCTCTGTTGTACTCACTAAATGACACTTGTGAAAAATTCCTGGAGACTCTATCCTTTGGAGGATCTCGTATTTTAGAAAGTATACATTTAGTACATATTTGCCATGTTTTTTCACTTGTATTTTAAAATATCCCAGTCCTTTCTTAAGGATCTCTAGATGTTTTTATGATAGGGTGATACCAACTCTGGCCTGCGTAAACCCAAGGAGAAAAATCTGCTTAACTCGCCTGTCCAGATTACAGTGAGGAATACTCTTTTAAAAGTCATGTTTGTGTTTCAGCAGGCTGAGATCAGCTCTATCCGAGAAAACAAAGACAGACTAAGTGGCAGCACTACAGGTAAGAAGAAGGGACACCTGGCTGTGTTCCTTGGACCAGTCTCTAGCCCGTGTCCAATGAAAGAGAGACAAGACCATGCAGAAAGGTCGCATCGCAGAGCTGCCAAGAACAGACAGACTGATGCACTCCTCACTTCAGGGGCCCTTAACCTAGGATTGAAGGCATCGCTGAACTTCGATGTGAAAAACTGCATCTCTTTTCAGTTAGGAGCCCTGGTGGTGTAGTGGTTAAGCACTCAGCTTCTAACTAAAAGGCTAGTGGTTCAAACCCACCAGCTACTCCATGAGAGAAAGCTGTGGCAGTCTGCTTCTGTAAAGATTACAGCCTTGGAAATTCTATGGGGCAGTTCTACATTGCTCTGTTGGGTTGCTATTGAGTCTGAATTGACTGGACAATAGGTTTTATTTTTATTTATCTCTAATTTATTTCTAATTTATCTTTAGGAGTCCTGGTGTGGCGCTGTGAGTTAACACACTAGATTGCAAAGTCGCTCTGAACTACAAGGTCAGCAGTTCAAGCTCACCAGCTGCTCCTTAGAAACCCTATACAGGGTTGCCATGGGTTGGAACTGACTTGTCGGCACTTAAACACTGCAACAATTTCTCTCTAAGGAGTGCTGGTGTGGCCCTGTAGGATAAGATCAGCAGTTCAAACCCACCAGCCACTCCATGGAAACCCTATACAAATGTGTCAGAACCGACTCCATGACAATTAACTACAAGAAGGAGCCCTTGATGGCACAACAGTTAAGTGGGTGGTAAGCTTCTCTGAACCCACGAGCTGGTTTGAACCCAACAATATATGTTGTTAAGTGCCATCGAGTCTGTTCTAACACACAGCGACCCTATATCATATTTCCAAGGAGTGGCTGGTGAGTTTGAACCCCCAACCTTGTGGTTCAAACCAGTCTTGTGGTCAAGTGCTTATCCTGGAGTGCCACACCAGGATTCCATCAAAATCTGAGGAGCATTCTGGCTCTACTTTTTCTAACACAGATTTGTTTGTTCTTTTAACAGTCTATGGTACTTGTAATATTCTTTCTCAACAACGTAACACAAATGCATCCATTCTTCTATAGACTTTCTTATTCAGTGTCCAACTTTCACATGCATACGAGGCTATGGAAAATACCACGGCTTGGGTCAAGCGCACCTTAGTCCGCTAACTGCCATCTTTGCACTTTAGGCTTGTGCAGCAGATTTGCCTAATGCAACACTTTGTATTCTTGACTGCTGCTTTCATAAGTGGTAACAGTAGATCCAACCAAAATGAAGTCTTTGGTAATTTCAATCTTTTCTCCATTTATCATGATGTTATTTATTGGTCCAGTGGTGACAATTTTGGTTTTCTTTACATAGAGGTTAAACCCATACTGAGGTTGTGGTCTTTGCTTTTCATTAGTATTTTAAGATCTCTTCACTTTCAGCAAACAAGGTTGTATCATCTGCATACTGCAGGTTGTTAATGAATCTTCTACTAATCCAGCTGCCACGTTCTTCTTCATATAATCAGGCTTCTTGGATTATTCGCTCAGCATACAGATTGAGTAAATATAGTGAAAGAATACAACCCTGGTGCGCACCGCTTTCCTGATTTTAAACCATTCAGTGTACCCTTGTTCTGTCCAAATTGCCTCTTGATCTGTGTTCAGGTACCTCATGAGCACAATTAAGTGTTCCAGAAAACTCATTTCTCTACATTATGATCCATAGCTTGTCATGATCCATGCAGTCAAAAGCCTTTGCATAGTCAACAAAGCACAGGTAAACATCTTTCTGATATTCTCTGCATTCAGCCAAGATCCGTCTGACGTCAGCAATGATATCCCTCATTCCACGGCCTCTTCTGAATGTGGCTTGCATCCAAAGAAGATGGCAGTTTCCTGTCAAAGTACTGTTGAAGCCATTTTAAAATTATCTTTAGCAAAAATTTCTTGCGTGCAATATTCATGATAGTGTCTGATGATTTCCACATTCCATTGGGTCACCTCTCTTTGGAATGGGCACAAATATGAATCTCTTCCAATCAGTTGGACAGGTAGCTGTCTTTTTAAATTTCTTGGTATAGATGAGTGGGTGCCTGCCATCTTTGGATGCTTTCTACATCATTCAATATTTCACCCATTGTTGTTGTTGTTAGGTGCCATCGAGTTGGTACCGGCTCATAACAACCTTACGCACAGCAGAACGAAACACTGTCCGTTCCTGGGCCAACCTCACTACTGTTGCTACGCTTGAGTCCATCGATGCTGCCACTTGGCCAATCCATCTCATTGGGGGTCTTCCTCTTTTTCTCTGACCCTCCACTTAACCAAACATGATAT